GTCTTATTTTAATCGCCATTCCTTTAATATCTCTTGGTTTAATATATCTTGCTTTAATCTTCCTTTCTTTAATATCCCTTCTTCTAATCCCCATTCCTTTAATCTTACTTTCATCTCACTTCCTTTCTGTTGTTGACAGGAAAGCAAGAAACTAGAAGAGTGGTCCACAGGTAAGAAGTGCGAGAGAAAAAATATTAGAACAGAACTATCTGCAGAGTAAAATGATGGGACCTAGTTGCCACTCTAGTACGAACTTAAAGTCATGAGTTCGAGGTACTAAAGATGAAAACTCGTTAGAAGTACTGTCATGGAAATATTTATAGAAAAGACAGAGGGAAGCCGCGCGAAAAATTGGGAAAATAACTGATACCGAGATGCCAGGTCAGGACCGATAACATTGCAGATTCTTCGTTGGACGCTTTAATTTTGCGCATCATTCGAACTCATAGTCTAGTAAGATAGCATGTGATTTAATATTATTTGAATAATCATTTCCTTTGCTTATCTAGAGCCAATAATGTTAAAATCCTATCAGGGAGACTATATCATCATTTTAAAATCGAATACGCATCGCTATAGCACAGTGATGCTATATAGTAACACATTTAAATTATTTAATTCTGTCTGTCTCGCACGAGTCTTGCGTATCACAGACGACCCCGCGGCAGATGTTGAACGAAAATATTCAATTCGTAGCTGTCATTTCTCAGTTACGATTTCCCAATAGTTATTTCGCAGTCGCCGTTCTATAAGTGAAAATTGCGACAATTATTTCGTTTATATATATATATATATATATATATATATATATATATATATATAATGACAAACACTTAAAAAAACTATGGGCTTTATTTTATTTTATTGAAGCCGATAAAAATGGTTTCAAATCCTCAGACCTGTAAACCAAATGAAGATGGAAAAATTTTACTCTATGTTTAAAAATTGAGAATAGTGGATTACATATAGAGAGTAGTGTAAAGAAAGATATTAAGTATTTTTTTATTAATATATATATATATATATATCTATATGTAAGCAAATATATGGCTATAGATTCAACGTTGAATATAGTCCAATTTTAATTATGTTTTATGATTATGTCCTGAAGATGGTCTACTAGACCGAAACGTCCGACGTTGACATTATATTAACATTAAAGCTGCATAATTGCATATTAGGATTTAGGTTTGTTTTTTCCGTATATTTTTCTTCATATATATATATATATATATATATATATATATATCCGGACCTCAGTCGTATTTTGTATGGAAAAAAAAAAGACGTTAAAATTCCCTTCCTTTCTGCTGCGCGATGATGGCATAGGGATATCTGATCTCTAATCAGTCGAGTTTCGATCCCGGTTTGAAACACTCGGACGTCTAACGACATGATACAGCGAAACTGTCTGTCTGTGGATGACTACATATATATATATATATATATATATATATATATATATATATATATATATATATATATATATAATTAAATTGTCCAGCATATACTATATCATAAAGAAGTAATTATGCAAAGAATTAATTAGCAATGTTAATGTGATTAATGGCGAAATCACTTCACTACAACAATTCATAATAATACAGAACTACTAAATTGAAACAAAATTCTCACTTGAATCATTTAAACAATGATTCTAGCGTTGTATCATTTCAAAATAATATAACCGATAAATAGCATATTTTTATAAACATCTTTTCTGTCTACACTACATTTATTTCATGTTGCCGTTTAAGTGTAAATGGAAATATTACGCCCTGAAGATGACAATTTGAAATCGTCGAAAGTACTCGGCCCAGAACCATTAATTCCATCTGTTCAATAATTCAAATATAAGGATCGGGTTCTCAAGGAATTGAGAGTAAGTTAATGTTTTGTTAACGAAGTGATTTCGCCATTAATCGCATTAACATTAATTCTTTTGCATAAATACTTCTTTATGATATATATATATATATATATATATATATATATATATATATATATATATATATATATATATATAATCATTTCATGTCAAGCAAAGTGATAATGCCAATACAATGCAACAGGTTGCTGTGAGTGTAAAGGGAATTAGGAGATTTAAGTGAAGAGAAAGAGATGGGACAATAAAAGAACAGATTTGTGGAAGAAAGAAAATGGCGGTTTAAGTTCTGTTGAAATTTTGAAAAATTGCACTAACCGAAAGTTCCACAATGGATAATTGCGAGAAAAGAAAGCATTAGAAATTTTAAGTCAATCTTAAAAGCAGTGTCTATTATTTGTAAGAGATATTTATATTGCGTCGATTCTATATTTGAATGAGATGTTCTGGTACATCTAAATCTTTGTCGCTATCCAGACACATCGTAGAATATAATACTTGCAAAATATGATCAGTTAAATTGTATGATAATTTTAATACCGAGTACCCAACGACAGAGTGTAGTGATTTCCACGAATAAAAACAATAATGCGCATAGTGAGTTTGACTAAATGAGGTATATTTTTCACCATATTCTACCATCCATGTGGCATTTCTTGGATCTCTTTGGTAAAGAAGCTTTTCAGTCTTTTGGTAAAAAAAAAATATCATCAGCAGCAGATATATCATCATCCCTGTGATGTTGATTCCCAGATGTTTTTTTTTATCCTTTTGGGGAAATGGTGATAGACAAATCTGGCCAAATCAGTAGAATAAGGAAGGTGATGAACTGGTTCAAAAACACAGCCACGCCCAACAGTCAAGGACCTATGTGCTGGAGTATTGTCCTGATGAAACAAAACACATTTCGTCAGTTTTCCCGCGCGTTTGGTTTTGTCAGGCTTTCGTAATTGCCTCAGAAAGATAGCATATTGTTCCACATTCAGTAAATAAAAACAATGCATCCGAAAGAAGCGAGGCCATCACCTTCCAGGCAGGTGAAACGACCTTGGCTTGCTTTGGAGCAGATGAGAAGTGTTTCCACTTCAAGTATATATATATATATATATATATATATATATATATATATATATATATATATATATATAAAAAAGTCTCATCGGTTATAAAAGGTTCAAGGAAACCAACAAGACCTACCTCTAACAGTGTTTGATTTTCGCGTTATGTGATCAGATTGGTGCGCTTTTGGTCAGGTGTCAGAAGACGTGACGCCCACCGAGAAAAAAACTGTCGTCGTACCAAGGGTATTGTGCAGAACATTCTCAACTCTCTCAGTGTTGAAACAGTTAGATGTCAGTTTACCTGAAAAGAAATAATGCAGTTATTAATAAAAAGAATTGAAAATAATGCATGCAAAGTTTCACAGCTCTAACATCTCTCCTTCATAGCCTAATAACTTTTCAGCCCACTCTCCTCACTGGAAAGAAACAAGGCGGTTATTAACAAGTAGAGTTGAAATTAATGCATGCAATATATCACAGCACTAGCATCTCTCCTTCAGAGTCAAAAATCAAATCGTTTTCAATTCAGAGCGTATGGTATGTCTGGTAATTCAACTCGTAGATTTAGAAGTGAAAAAAATGGGTTCATGCCTTTGCAGACGGGCAATAGAGTGAAATGAAAGAAAATTCAAGAGGAATTTGAATTTCACATTGTGTATCGATATACTACCTGCTGTCTGCAGATTCACATCGTGGAGAGGAGGAGATGCGGCGGCCGATGGAAACGTCACGTTTACGGTTAAAGGCTTCTCTCTTTCTTTCTCTCTCTCTCTCTCTCTCTCTCTCTCTCTCTCTCTCTCTCTCTCAAACACACACACTATCTTTCTCTCTCACACACACACACAATCTCTCTCTTTGTGTCACTGCATCTCCCTCTCGCTCTCTCTCTCTCTCTCTCTTACACATATTCTCTCCCTTTGTGTTTCTGTGTCACCCTCTCTCTCTCTCTCTTACACTCTCTCTCCCTTGCACACATAAAAACTCTCTATCTTTGTATCTCCCTCTCTCTTAGACACATACACTCTCATACACACACACACTCTTTCTCTTTGTATCTCTGTATCTCCCTCTATTACATACAGACACTGTCTCTCTCTCTCACACATATACTCTCTCTTTGTGTCTCTGTATCTCTCTCACACACACCCTCTTTCTAAAACACACAGATATTCTCTCTCTCTCTCTCTTTGTGTTTCTGTATCTCCCTCTCTCATTCTCTCTCTCTCTCTCACACACACACACTCACTCACTCTCTTTCTCTCTGTGTCTCTCTATACCCCTCTCTCACACACAGACACACTCTCACTCCCTCTTCAAGTGTTTGGTTATCAAAACAAGATAAATTAGTAATAAGCATCAAAGATTAATGAGATGCTCATGATTATTTTAACGACGATCACATTGAAAGACTATCTTATTATATTCTTCTTTTCTTCAACACAGGTTCCGACCCCAGTCTTCCATCTCCAAGTCATAAATCTATGCTGTTGAATTTATTTTTATGGTCACATTCATCGCTTATTTTAATAGGATCCTCCGAGGCGCAATTATCCCCGACACAAAGACAATCATTCACAATTTCCTTAATGTCTTCATCCATCATTCCTGCTATTTCAGTGGTTTATATATTGTTAGGATAGTAATCCGACGGCAAAACGATATACAACGTACAAGATTCGTTTATCTGAATGTCAAGCCACTGCAGAAAGTGAATATAGTTTACTCTAGCGAGGAATACATATTAGTCGAAGACTTGATATACAATATAGAAACAAGTGTCTAAAAGGATAGGCGACGAGTTGGTATACAATATAAATCAAATCTATTCATGATACGAGTGCTGTTGGTACTGTAACTAGCAGTCGGGTCATCGGAGATAGACATCCTTGGCCTTGCTCATGAGAAGTGTGGCTAGACCCCTAGCAGTAGTAAATGCAAAACCAGCCAATGGGCGCATGAACTTTGTTCTAGGATCATCGTCCAATTTAGTACAATGAAGTAGATAAGTCTCTATGAATATATAAACAGTCAATGCAGGGTTAAGGCACCATTTTATTGAAGCACAGGTCCCCGTACGATCACCGAAGTTAAGCAACGTCGAACCTGTTCAGTACCTACAGGGGCTACCGCTTCGGAGTACCAGGTGCTGTAAGCTTTGATGTATGGGTCGTGAAATAGCAGGCCATTCCATAAGTTCTGTTCGAATTTTGAATAAAGAAAATAGGTGATCAAATGTTACAGTTAATTACAGATTCAATCAACAATGTATTTTCCCTGATTATCTATGACTTCTTTCCATCTATTAACAACCTTACTAATTCTATTACTGTAAAATTATATTGGCTTTGATTCGAAGAACTCACAAATGTCAGTTTTAACCTCTTCCTGTATTACAAAAGCTGTTTCTTCCAAATGATTCTGTAAGCTACGAAACAAATGGTAGTCTGAAGGAGCAAGATCGAGAGAATAAGGTGGGTGAGGAATTTACTCCCAACCAAGTTCTTCGATCTTTTGTGACGTGAATCTTGCTGTGTGGGGTTGAGCATTGTCCTGATGAAACATCACCTCTTTTCGATTCACTTCAGGTCTATTTTTCCTCAAAGCTTGGTACAAACGCTCTAATTGCTGACAGTATATTTGAGCATTAATTTGTCCATGAAGTTCCCTTCTCGGCTGTGGCTGGGCTACTTCCCCTTTACCAAGCCACTGTCTACGACGCTTAACATTTCGATAAAAGATCTATTTTTCGTCGCCAGTCACAAGTCTATCCAAAAAAGGTGAAACAAGTTGGCGAGAATGGAGAGAAGAGCAGATGTGAACTCGGGATTTGAGGTTGTTTTCAGACAATTCATGAGGCACCCATTTTCCAAGTTTAGGAATTTTTCCAAGTTGTTGAAGATGGCGATGAACAGTTGTATGGTTTGAACTGAGAACCACTGCCAATTCCTCAACTAATAAAGCAGGATTTTCTTAAGGGCTGCTTCAAGAAGCTTTTCATCAAACTCAACTGGACGTCCGGTTCGATCTTAAAATTCGGACATAACTTATGGGATAACCTGATAGATAAGTATACGGCCATGTCACGTTGAAACACCGGTTCCCATATGAAGTTAAGCAATTTCGTATCTGATGAGTAGCTTGATGAGTGACCGCTTGTGAATACCAAGAGCTCTAAGCTTGGATGCGTGGGTGGTGCAATGAATAATGGCTCGGAATCGTTAATTAGATCCAATTTGGATCCCTAATATTCGTTTATGTGCAAATACCTTTGGTAAAAGTATGAATTCAACTCCTCTCCCCCAGCTATGGGTTAATTAGTAAGACTAAAACTATTATTATCGCCAGATAATTAAATAGAATTGCGTAAAAGATTTAGATTTCGGCATTATATAACTCATACAGGTTGATATGCAGATAAACACAAACAACGAACCAACAGCCACTACAGCGAAAGGCTTCCTAGAGTGAAGTCAAAGATCGGGAGGATGATTCCCAGTGATGGTATCAGTGGTCACGTCTCACGACCAAGCCGAGCTTTCAAGTTGGAGCACATCGGATGTGATTTGACCGGGAAAGAGGTGGGCTATGCTAGATCTACACGTTAAGCATAGATGAGTACCTCTTCGGTCATTAACCCAGATATGTGGAGGGAACTGGTCAGGTGCTCACCGAACCTAAGCCGCACCCGTTCAGGAGACTGATGACAATGCCGGCAGGTAAGGCGGTCATCCTGATATACGGTGTTATGTGCGATACATAATATCCACACCGAGCGTACTTTATGTGTACATAATATCCACACCGAATGTATCTGATGTGTACATAATATCCACACCGAGCGTACTTTATGCGTATTAATATCCACACCGAATGTATCTGATATGTACTTAATATCCACACCGAATGTATCTGATGTGTACCTAATATCCACACCGAATGTATCTGATGTGTACATAGTATCCACACCGAATGTATCTGATGTGTACATAATATCCACACCGAGGATATTTGATGTGTAAATACTATCCCCACCGAGTGTATCTGATGTGTACATAATATCCACACCGAATTTATCTTATGTGTACATAATATCCACACCGAGCGTACTTTATGTGTACATAATATCCACACCGAATGTATCTGATATGTACTTAATATCCACACCGAATGTATTTGATGTGTACCTAATATCCACACCGAATGTATCTGATGTGTACATAATATCCACACCGAGGATATTTGATGTGTAAATACTATCCACACCAAGGGTATCTTATGTGTACATAATATCCACACAGAGTGTATCTGATGTGTATATTCACAATGAGGATAACTGATGTGTACATAATATCCACACCGAGTGTATCTGATGTGTACATAATATCCACACCTACGGTATCTTATGTGTACACAATATACACACCGAATGTATCTGATGTGTACATGATATCCACACCGAGGATATTTGATGTGTACATAATATCCATACAAAAGGTATCTTATGTGTACATAATATCCTCATCGAATGTATCTGATATGTACATAAAATCCACATGGTGTGTATCTGATGTGTACACAATATGAATACACCAACTAAAATTACCGTGGGGGATATACCTATGCGACCAAAATGCTGTCTAAGTTAGCATAATATATTTGCATTGTTTCTTTTTATTTATTTTCTATTTCATATCAGTGAGTTTTCTTCTGTCTCGATCAACAGCGATATCCGATTTAAAATTTCAGGATGAAGATTGCTATAGGAAGAACTTTTGTTTAATGGCTACAATGATAAAAATCGATCGAAAACTAGTGGGAATCGTGCTTTGCCTGGAATGAAATGTCTCATCCAATCAAGCAGAAGTTTTAAGCACAAAATAAAACAAAGTGAAGAGTAAATGCAAAATCGACATCAACAAAAAACAAAAAAAAACAAAATGGTGGCTGAATTTGTGACAGTCACTGCCAGGAAATTCATAGCAACAACAACAGTGAAAAGCTAAATTACTCTGAATACTTTCGTGATGTTCATTAATCTTTATTAAAACATATACATATATATTGACACGTAAGCACCTGGCATACAAATTCAACTTAAACAATTAAAATGACGCATATAAAATGTTGCTAGTATGTTTATTTATTGAAGCAATTTTACAATCGAAAATACGTTTCGGCTTTACATAACACACAAAGGGTTGATAAACCGTAAAAAATCAAGATCAGTATTTAATGAGCGAGATTTTAAGATAGAGTGAAGTAAGAGAATAGTATGTGGATTAATATATTTTTGGAGATAGACATTACTCGTCCTAATGTTGTCTATATTTGTAATATATTTATTAAACAAATTTAAAATTTTTAATGTTTTTAAAAGTTTTAACTTTATTAGGTAAGGAATATTTATTTACTAATAGCTAAGCCAATACAAGATCCATAAACATATACATTAATATACCTATATATTGACACATAAACACCTGACATACTGGTGGTATGCTTACTTACCAAAGCAATGTTACAATCGAAAATAGGTTACGGCTTAAAATAATACACCAAGGATTGATAAGCCATAAAAAATTAATCAATCAAAACTGTTTACGAACGTGTCTAATTTTGCAAATATTACCTGAAAGCGATGCATCAAATAAATGCGGTTTTATCTTTTCCATCTAATAACATATGTCTTGTCTTAATATCCTTCCCAACATAATGGATTATATTTTATATTCAGCTTTATATCATATATTTTGTTTATAATGATACTTAACCCGTAGCTGTTTGAACATTTTTTTTGTAAATTAGAATTTATTCGACATTTCACAAGCCAAGACATTTGTTGGAAATGGAAAAATTTTGTTTATTTTACATTTTATAAGACACTGGGCCCTATTCATAAAACAAATACAGTTCCCTAGATTATTAAAGAATTAAAGAATTATCAGTACTTATGTTTGTTTTTCTTTACAAATACCGATCCTTACGGCTACATCATGTTGAAACACATTTACCCGTACGATCACCAAAGTTAAGCAACATAGATTATGGTCAGTACATAGATGCCCATGTATTCGATACCAGAAGATTCTCAGGACTATCAGGAAATAAAACGTTCCGGATTTCTCTGCATACCGCCCTTAGGCTTTTTCGAGGTGAAGCCCAACCACAGTCCCAGACCTGGCATCTGACCGAAATTATGAAACGTCCAACCTGATCACTACCTAGATGGCTGACCGCTTGGGAATACCAGATAGTGTAAGCTTCGATGTGCGGGTGGTGTGATGGATAATGGCTCAGAATCTTTAATCGGAGAGCAGAGTTCTAATTCCAGTTCGGTTCTTGGAAAAGACATGCATCCTTTCTTCACCCATCATCTAGGGGTTAATTAGTAAGACTTGCATCTCTAAATCATTATTATCTCCAAAAAAAAAAAAATTCTTAGAATCTAAAAATGTTTTCTGGCTTTAAATAACCTGGAAAGAGTTTATAAGCTTGAAACTGTGCTTACGTCATTGATATTTGCATACTATTCTGAAATGAGAAAAAAAAGGCAGTATTAGTAGTATGCTGTTTCAAACTTAAAAAATAGTAAATTACAGATAACTCTTTAAGATGTCTGAGACTGATTTAAATCAATTTATATCATGAACTGAACCATCTTCTCAGATTATAAAAATAGGCCAATATTTTTCGATTATGTCAGGTGCCGTGGCCTGAAAAAGATATGATCAATGCTAATCGATAAGAATTATTTCCCTACCGAAAATTTCCCTATTTTTTTATGAGTTTACCAATAGTGATTCCGGGAATATATAGATCCAGATGTTCATTAAGGATACGTGTGCGAAATCGAATGCAAGAGGTGTGACGTATAAATAAAACCCTGCCTGCTGATTCCGCAATCGATGCTGATAACCCAGACACTGAACGCACATTTTATATGTTAGCACAATAACATCTACCGTTGGCTTTTAAAGAATTATATTACGCCGTCGACGAGGAAATTGAAATCAATTTAAATTCAATAAATTAATGTGTAGATCATTGCAACTTTCCCGCCTCTCAACAGTATATCATCGGGTCAGCCGATTTCGGTTACATTCCTACCTGTTTTATACATTTCCCCCGAAGGAAATCAGTTACACTGGTTCCA